GCCCCCAGACAACATAGCCCCTGGGATCCCTGGGACACACAAACCCCTCCACCACGATAAGGTTGCGATTCACGGAGGAGCCTTCTCATATAAGAGCATTAAAATCAATTTTTTTCCTCAGTAAATTAGGCCTTTCTTTCCCAGAACGAAGACTTTACAAACTAAAGAAAAGCTTTTTCAGTCTTTGCTAATTCGGGTCCACTGATTCTATAAATACTCACATGGTGACACCATAAGAATTTTAGGTCAGGTTCTTGCATTAATAGATTGATGGGTTGCTGTTGACTGTAGCTCAGATCATGGAGCCAAGAGATGGGCCTCATTTTGATCTCGGCACTTGTAAGCCGAGCAATTTACTGGAATTTTGACGCCGGTCAATTCTAGATCAATAACATATTCAATATCATTCTTAAGGCCAGATTTTTCTACTGCCTGTGTGTGTGTAGTTGTTTAAAGTCATGTGAAAGTCAAAGTGGAGCTGAGCATGGTTGTGGCCTGGTTTGCTACTGTAGCAGCAGCTAATATTAGACCAGGGCAGAGGCAGAAATATCTGCCTGTGGCTATTGGGAGCCTGTGTGACTGAAGGCCTACAGAGATGTGGCTCAGAAAAAGCAAGACACATGCAGCCGGCCAGAAAGGAAACTAGGACAGCTCCTGGGTCAGATATTGTGAGATATCGAAGAGCAAGCGAGAGGAGATGTTCAGAGGAAGAGAAAAATGTTGGCGACCCCAGGGAGTTATAGTTGTCGGGGAAATGTTCAGTGTTATGATTGTGTGGCTGGCCTTTGGAAAACAAATACAGTGTCACTGACACCTTTTTTTAGCTGCACTGCATCTACTCTTATCAAATGATAGTAACAAATGTTCAAGTAAAAAAGCACTATGAGAAACATGTGCAAGATCTGATCACCAGAGTTACCCTTTCAGTTCAACAAGACTAAGTTTAGCCATTTCAGTTAGGAGTTACTTTGAACTTGTGTAGAAGAATTAGTAACCAGAACCTGTTTTGCCCTTTTTGTTCTTAATACAAAGCATTTCTGAGTGTCACTTAAGCTTATGGGGCAAGCAGGTGAGCACATGCAACCAGGCTGAAACGAGGCACCATGGGTTCATATGCGGCCCGAGTCCCCTTGCTTTCCTCTCCACTCTCCATTCCACTATCTAATGAAGGAAAAGTGCCCAAAAAACTCCTTAAGAAATAGAAACCATTTCTAAGGGTGCACTTTTTTTCTAGCACTATATAATTAAAAGAAAAAGTACAATTTGTTTTTCTAATAAAGATGTGCTGTGCTTCTCCCTTGCCGTGCATGTACGTGTAGCTAAAGTCCTTCTAATGCCAGTCTTGCTACTCAGCAGCCATCTTTGAAACATGCCTGGGCAGTTCTCTTGAAATGCTAAATGAATGAGAGAGGGTAAACATTCATTTGGATGCTAACAAGGTTATAAACCACGGATTAGAGAGTCCAAAGTCAAGGCAGATTGTCGACTGGTGTGCATTGTGGCTTGTTGCACCAAAGCACTGAACAGGTGTAGAAGTAATTCACATTACAGCAAGGCTTAAAAAGGTTTTTTTAAAGTACCTTTACCCACATTTTTACTACCATAATTAGTGTTGTGCTTACGGGTTAGAGCAACAACATGACAGCAGATATGTTTCCCATTACCTAGCCGTCTTTACTGTCCACATGGATTTCTGCTCGGAATTCTTTGAGCCTGTTTCCTCTTATGTAACGGCTCTGTTATAACCATCTTCTTTTTTCTTTGCCTCTGCAGGGATACAACAGTCCAGACTCTGACCTTACAGCCCTCGGTGCGAGATGGCATCATTACATATGAGGATTCCCCTCTGGTCAGTTAGAGTTTTTTTCCCCTCATGTTCACAGATGTCTCAGATGTATATTGTGGTAGACATGATCATCACCACAAATCAAGTTGTGTTGGAATCGTTTTATTCTGTATGATTTTATTTGTTTTTGCCACATAGAAAGCATGTTCTTATTTACCTGAGAGTTCTGGATGGTTTGTAAGGTACAAGTACATTTGAAATGTAACTCAGTCAGTTTAAATCTTAGTGTGAACTATTCGAAGTGTTGTAAAAGCCATCTTTTGTGATGAAGAAAGCCTGTGCAGAGATTTGAGAATTGGACTAATGTGCTCAACTGTTTTTGTGTAATTACAGGAATCTAAATGAGCTGTAGCTGTCTGATGGAGTTTTACTAAGACCCATAAAGACACTGTTACAATAGTCCACTAAAAAGAAATCTGTGCACAGATTTATTTATTTTTGTATCAGTTTTAGACAGACATCCTGCGGATTGTGAATGTGTAGGCCAGTTTGATATATGTATTCACCACATGAACTCTTTCTATCTGGGACAGCATCTTCATCATCAGCTTTTTCACAACTCTAACAACAGACATCCATACATTTTTGCTATAGTTTTAAGATTAAGGTTAATAGGCTGATTTTTAAAAATTGTCTTTATATGACTATCGATATTTAGGTCAGTCAATAATTATTTCAGGATTTCTTGCCTGGTTTGAGAATTTAAGCAACATTCGTCTAGATAGGTTAGAGACTTTAATTCTTTTTTCTTTAGAGGTGAAAAAAAATATACCTCAGTCTTTTCTTTCAATTTCAGTAAGTTTGGGCACATCCACTCATTAATTTCAGTACTAGAGTTTTTGAGTAAGTGTAGGGCTCAGTAGTCCTGAGGTGACACTGAGGTGTGCGGTGTGAATAAGAATGAAATGTAATATGAATGTAACATCTGAGATAGAGAAAGGGTGTATATGTAAGTATGAAAGGTCCAAGGATGGAGCCTTGAGGACTCCGCATCAAAATCTATTTATATGTGTGTATATACATGTAAATATATAATATTATGTATAACAGTATGTGAATGCTCAGGGACTGTCATTGGATTCCACTTATGATTACCAGTGATTTGTCTTATTTTCTGGACTTTTTAGTGAAAGATACAAAATCATCAATAGTGTATTGCATTTCTGGGTGCAGTGGTGTAATGGCACAGAGCTTTTTTTTTTTTTTTATCTCAGAGAAAGATATCCATCTTGGCCATTTTAGATCAAGATTTTAAAAAAGGATTATTTTGCTTGACAATGGCAGCCCTCTTAATGGTTTACTCCGTGAAATACATGAAAATAAAGATACATAATAGTAGCTTTGTTGTTCTAATCGCCAGCAGAGAAGAAACTGTGGTATTTGTGTCTCCCATATGCCTAAGAACTTTCTCAGCTTATGTGTCAAATAAGCAGCTTTCATAGGAGCATATCTGATGACTTCTCAGAACACAGTGTCCAGAGCTTTTAGTACATTGTGATGCACACCTACACAATCCCAAAATTAGGACTACTTAGTCAAAATAAGTGAAAAAACCTGTGAGGGTGGATAGTGAATGTGTAGGCCAGTTTGATATATGTATTCACCACATGAACTCTTTCTATCTGGGACAGCATCTTCATCATCAGCTTTTTCCCCAACTGTAACAGCAGTTGTGCTTTTTTGTTAGTCAAATGGCATGTGTGTGTATGTTTGTGTGTGTTGTCTGTGTTCAGGTAAAGGCAGTGAAGTTTGGCCATGTGTTAGTGATAGATGAGGCCGACAAAGCTCCTACAAACGTCACCTGCATTCTCAAAACCCTGGTGGAGAGCGGAGAGATGATCCTGGCTGATGGACGCAGAATCATCTCAGGTGCAGTCATACGCACATTCATGCATGCACACACCTTGACAGCAGACATGTCCCAGATACAGAACGAGAACTGTTTTTATGACGAATTAAGGACTGCATGTACTGCAAGGCAAACACGAGTGGAACATCAGATGCAGGCCACTGAAGGAAGCTTAGGATAAAAGCCTTTATGGACAGGTACCAGCAGATTTTGGATCACGCTGCTCTGTAAACATTTAGTTTTTCCACATATTCCCTTGTAATCACATGGGCTGCTGACAGCTACTCCATTCCTGAGAGGCTCATCCTCCTAGTGGAATGTAAACACAATCTTGAGACTTCATAAACACGACCTTCAAGCTGTCAGCGTAGTAGAGGTGTGTGTGAAAATCTGTGACACAAATTAAAACACTGAGAGTAAAAAAGGAGATTCATACAGAAACAGACTGAGATGAAACTGTGCTTGTTTTGGTCATGTGTAGACAACAACTGTCTGTTCCACAGGTCCACGTGAAGCCAAGGGGAGGCCTGACATCATAATTATGCACCCAGACTTCAGGATGATCGTCCTCGCTAACAGACCTGGTTTTCCTTTTCTGGGCAATGACTTCTTTGGAGCTCTAGGTACCCAAAAACACACGCACAACTGAAACTGAGGCTTTTCCTACTACATTAATACCCCAACACATTAAAAATAGATAAACACTTAACTTTTTTTTTTGCCCTGGATATCAAATATTGTATATGGAGAGAAACACATTAAATTCTGTCTTGTATTTTGTACCAGGCGATATTTTTAGCTGCCATGCTGTGGACAACCCGAAGCCCAAAGCGGAGCTGGCTATGCTAAAACAGTATGGCCCCGATGTTCCTGATGCTACGTTGCAAAAGCTCGTGGCAGCCTTTGGAGAGCTCAGGTCCTTGGCCGACCAGGGTACCATCAACTACCCCTATTCTACTAGAGAGGTGGTCAACATTGTCAAACATCTCCAGGTAGGAATACACACTGAAATACGGTACATACTGACTACCTTTTATTAATAATTCATAACATTTATGCGACCTGAATCCTGAACCTACTAGTGCTTTAATAATGTAAGAGAGTCTCCTCAAAATATAGCTGTCTCCGAGAGGAGAGAGGGTGTCTGTGCTTTGGTCCACTTTCAGAAGCTTACAGCTTAAACATACAGCCAACTGTCAGTTAAAGGGATCAACCGTATCTCCATGTTTTTATCCTCTAGTAAAGTGGCGTTACTTGACTGAGAGTTCAAAAAAATCTAATCTATGTTTTAGCTCTGTTCCTTTTAGCCAGGTTTCTTCTGATTGGCTATCAATGATAAAAAAAAGAGGTTTGAGTAACAGGTGGGTGGGGCTTCCGCACCCCCAGCCAGACCTCTATGCCTGAGAGGACCATATTAAATATGCCCCCTCTCTACTAGGATGTCACAATACAGGAAATGTAGTAGTCTGTACCTTTACCAATATAATTAAGATATTGCATGTACTTAAACCTGAACTTTGTTTTGAAGAAAAAAACATCTAAACAAGAAGGATAATATTTTGGATGTTCTTACTATATGTAACTACATATGTTACTAACTCAGTTAGTAACATATAGTAACTATTTGTTACTAACTGAAATTTTGTCAACTTGAATTCTTTGAACAGATGGTTTTAGGTCTGTCACTATACTGCAAGTATTTCCTACCTGGGTCTGAGAAGCATGATAGGATTGTTTGCATATTGCCCTTGGTCATCTGCTTCCATACCAAACTCTTATCTTTCTTATAACCACGTCAGAGCAGAGCTGTGACAACAGCTGGACTAGTCACCATCTTCCATTGCAGTTATTGCTATTCCTTGCACAGTTTTTCTTGAACTTGTGGGCGTCCTTCTTTCGTTCATCAGCATTACTAGAACATTGACAAGACTATGTAGTACTAAAACTCATGTGGATTACTTGTATATAACTTTTTTTTTTTGTTAAATTTAGAATTTCCCAGAAACAAAGAAAATGCATTTTTTAAATAAAGAACGTAATATAACACAACCTATAAGAACACAAATAAACATCATCTAGTTAATATATATATACACTTGTACATAGCTTAAACACATTACTTCAAACCTTGACTATGTTTTTATAAGAGCATGCACCACTGGAGCGTTATATACAACCTTGGATCCAAAATGGTTTGTATACTGTGTAAAATGAAATAAAAAAAAGAAATCATAATTTTATTTAGAAAATATATCAAATTTTTTAAATTAAGACCTTTTACTATTTAATGAAAACAAATGAGGGCATTTTGAATTTGATAACAGCAACACGTCTTTTAAAAGTTATGATTAGGGCAATGCTGGAAAGGTAAGTGGTGCTATTGTAGAAACAGACGGCTGGCGGAACATTGTGCAGCTAATTGGGTTCATTGGTCAGTAACATTTTAGGGTGTAAAAAGAGCGTCTTAGAGAGGCAGAGATTCTCAGAAGTGAAGATGGGTACAGTGGGTACCAGTGTGCAAAAAGCTAATATCTCATCATCCTTAGTACATAATGTCATCAGAAGAGTCAGAGAAACTGGGGAAATCTCTTTGCCCGAGGGACAAGGCTGAAAATCAATAATAAATGAACATGATCTCCAGGCCCTCAGGCAGCACTGCAGTGAAAACAGATGTGATTCTTGGGGTTCAGTAACACAGTTCACTGTGCCATCCACAAATACAGGTTAAAGCTCTATCGTGTGAACAAAATCCTGAAACACCACTGTCGTCTCTGGGCCAAAGCTTTTTTAAGTGAAAACTGTTCTGTGGTCAGAGAAATGAAAATGTGAAATTCTTTTTGGAAAACATGGACACTGCGTCCTCTGGACTAAAAAGTAGAATCTTATCATGGCTCATTTATTGGCAGCTTGGAAAGGTACCATCCATACTATAAGGTAAATACAGGTTTTACCACAAGATCCAGGTGTCTTTTTCAGGAAAAGCCTTGCTTATTTCAGCTAGACAATGATAGAAAGCATACTCCATATATATTATAATGGCATGGCTTCATAATAGAAGAGTCAGAGGGCTTCCATCAAATGAAGCATCGTGACACGAAAAATAGGACCAAGAAGAACCAGGACCGTTGAGCAGCTAGACTCTTATATGAGACAAGAATGGGATAGCGTTCCTCTCCCAAAAGTCCAAGAGCTCTCTTCTCAATTCCTAAACTTTTACAGACTGATGTTAAAAGAAGAGGCGATGCTACACTGTGATAAAAATGGCCCAGTCACAACTGTTTTTGAGACCTGTAGCTGCCATCAAATTCAAAATGCTCTTATTTTTTTTTCTTAAAATGATACTTTTTCTCAGTTTAAACATTCAATATATTTTCTGTATTCTCTTGTAAGTAAAATGTGGCTTTGGTAAGAGATGCAAATCACTGCATTTTTTTTAAATTTACATTTTTCACAGTGTACCGAATCTTTTTGTAATTTGTGATGTGTGTATCATAAAGACAAGCATAATGGCTCCGCCTTAAATTGCCCGATGCAGGACTGTGGTTTCCAACATTAAAATAATTAGGATCATATGTCACATTGGCTGTGCTCTTAAAAGGAATTTTCCAGTCCATTCCATAGGACCTTAAAAGTCCCTCCACCCTCATTTGTCATGTCTTTCTTTCTCCGGCCACCGATTCCTCTCTTTAACCCTCTAATTTCCTAGTATTCAGAGCCCACAGATGTGCACCACAAACCGACTTATGAGATAGGCGAGATGATCATCAATATGTCATCAAAGCGACATATTTGTGTTAGTATAAAATTGCTAGACTTTCTTCAATGAGTAGATGGTTTTTTTTACATTTAGAATGATATTTTACAAGGTTTTAGAAGTGATTGTCACCATATTTTCAAATCTTTTTTATCCCTTTGATACCATAGTTTTTCGAGCAGCTACTCCGTTTTCCACCTTCAGACGAACAGTATGGAGGCACATTACAGAGCGCATGCTGTTTACATTAACAGTCTCCCACCATCAATAGCTATAAGCTGCTGTTTACCATCATCCTCTCAGCTCAATCATCTGGAAAAAGAAAAGCAAGTGAATGGATGCATGCAGAGCTGTCACATTCCCATGCCTCCTTGTGGTTACATTCTTCAGAAATGTACACGCTATAGAGCACAAAAAGGACAGACTCCAAAAGAAGAGAAGGAGAGGGGATTAAGCATTAAAGCTTGCACTATGGATCAATAGTTTAGTGTACAGAGACCAGCTAATATTTGAGTGACCTCCCAGTTCTTTCATCCATCACCACCATTATTGATGTCTGAATGACTGGGTGTGACAGGGAATCATTTCAATTTAGCTGTACTCTAAATAGCTCGCTTTATTCCTTTATTGCTATTTTAACCTTAATTTATACCATCGTGATCACTGCAGCCCAGTGCTCTATAGTCAGCTGTAACCTACTGGGAGAGACTGCTATTGACTGTGCAGCGATTCACTGGACTGTATAAGTACACTGTAATATGGAGGCTTAAAAGTGCAATTATGGTCCTAATAATGGCATGAAGATTACTCACATCAGAACTGAAGATTTATTGCAGTAAAGAGTTGAAAGGGCAGGGGATGCATTCGGGGGATGCATAATTTCCACCTTATCAGTTTAGCTAAGATTCTTTGCTGTCAATCACGTCTATGCCTGGAAATATAGTCTGAAAGATTTCTGAAATATTCAATAACTGTCAAGTACTGAAAGCAGCTATCAAATTAGATTTGTAATGTCTGTCTTTACTTCTCCCTTCATTGCTTATTCATAATACTCTAATCAGACAAACATTGTATATTACACTTATTGTTCATATTTTTTACATTACCAAAAACAGATCTTAAAAATAAGTATGTTGGTAAAGGTGTTAAATATTCAGTGTGCACACAAACAGTTCCAAACCCCTGTGCTGGTTTAGTATTGTAAAAAAAAAAGAAAAAGAAAGTCTGTCACCAAAATCTTCACTCCAAGGATTTTTTAGGTTGTTGTCTGCTTATATAAAAGAAAGCATCAGAAATCTGTTGTTTTAAAAAAGACCATTTCTTCTTTCCTCTATTGTCTGTCATACTGTAAATATATTCTTCCAGTGGTGGATTCTCTTTGTAATACAGAAAATGCTTTTAGGCATTAGAACTGGAGTCTGTAATTATCATCAAAGACGGAGCAAAGATGCTGTTGTCTGTCAGTAAGTTTAGAGATGACTAATCTTCGTTTCTTATGTCTTATCCCAAACGTTCCCTGCATTGACCCCTGTTAAGGAGCTGAAAATCATATTAATTTTCCTTGTCTCTGTCCCCTTTTCCATAACTCCCACCTCCCACCTGTCATTATCATTTTTTCTCCCCCTCCTACTCTCTGTGTCCTTCCTTCCTCTTCCTTTTCTTTCCCTGGTGACCCTTCCTCTTTTACTTCCTCTTCTCTGGCCTTTCCTTCCTACTCTCCTCTACCTCCCGCTAGAAATTTCCCGATGAGGGTCTGGCCAACGTGGTGAGAAACGTCTTCGACTTTGACTCATACAACAAAGACATGCGGGAGGTTCTAATTGAAGCACTGCACAAGCACGGGATTCCCATTGGAGCCAAGCCCAGCTCTGTCAAGCTGGCTAAGGAGTAAGGCATCGGGAGCACAAGATGTTTCACAAGACGCGCGCACACACACACACACACACATTAGAGGCACATCAATTACGTGACACACACAGAGACAGAATCAGATTGTTGCACAGTTAGAACTGTGGTCACAGAGCCTCACAGGGGGGTAATAATAGCTGGATGGACCAAAATACATGAAAAACACATAGTCAACGATGGAGCAGATCAAGATTTGGGGTTTATCATACTATAAAAGGTGCTAGCTGACGTGTGGCGCTGCTCAGAATGATCGCAGAGTAGAGCCTTATCTTGGGTCTTTATCAGTTCCACAGAGGAGTCGTTTTTCTTGTTAATCTAAACCTTTATCCCTCATAAAATTAGAAATCTTCCAGAAGCGGTTTTAAATAATGGAATCTAAACTTGTCATTACTTGATTTGTTCAGAGTTTATCTTAGCATGTCAGCTATTTTAAATATATCAGAAACTGTCGATGCTTAACACACAGTGGAAATATAATCTAATATGATGCCCATTCAAATGTGGATAATCAACCCCGCTAGCTTCCTCAGTCTCGTAAAGTGATGGCAGACGTGCACAGTGTACAATATTTGCCGTGCATGCAAGATGCTCTTCTCCATTAGTGCATTCTTCACGGTGCTGCCCCTCCTACACAGGCCCCCGGCACACAAATCTGTCTTCTGGTTTGGAGCTGGCTCTGAACGCTGCAAATGAATCATAGAGAAATGTCTCTCTTATTACATATTACAAAGAGACATAGTGAAATACTTCACTAAATTAGTGCGATACGAGTGGAAGGCACTCTGTAGTGAGCTGAGCAACTCAAAGATGCAGAAGACATGCAGTAGTAATCCTGGCCATGCAATCTTTTAATGCATAGATTTTCAGCATAATTGTTCCCCCGCAGTTTGTCTTAATGCCAGTGGTTTTTGTTGTGTTGGTAGTTTTGTTGTTGCCTTTCAAAGAACCTTTCCAGAAACTTGCCAGCTGAAAGTAGCTTCTGAGAGGTCAGCAGTTTCAGGGATTGTTCCACGTGAGTGTGTGACTGTCAGGCATCATTTTGTAATTTTAAAATATTGTTGACTGTTGGCATTGAATTCCTGAAAGGCTTGAACTCGGTTGATGTTCTTCAACTGTATGAGTGGTTTCTATTAGACCTTTAGGCTTTTATGAAGTCTCCACAATGCTTCCTGAAGTGTTAAATAAACAAAGATCTATTCTTAAACCTATTTATAAGAAAAATCTATTCTGAAATCAACCACATTGCCTCACAATGTACAGCTTTGTCTTTTAAATAAAGGAAAATATTTGTTTCTTCTGTCTCCTGTGGTTTTATTTAAGTATCACATTTATAAATACACGTTCATATCTCATTAACAAGTAAATCCTGAAACAAACAGGGCAGAAACAAGTATTTTCCTGTTATGTCTGTGCTGACATCAATCCAAGTCGTTCAATTACTCTTCTGTCATCACCCATCTTAAACACTTTATCAGACTAGTTTCTCTACCCACATCACAGCAAACATTTGTCCCTTAGATTTCAGATTTGGAAATGGAAAACAAAGAGTAATTTCTCTTTCTGCTTTTCCATTCATAGAAATGCTTATGATTAGAGAACTGTCTATCCTCCAGATTTTTTTTTTTTGTGGTTCTGATGCATTTTTCACTCCATCTGCTGCCAATAAGATCATGGCCCGAGGCCAGCTGTGATTCATGGGAAAACCAGTGGACATCTGGTCAGACACAAACACATAGACACTTGTTCTGAATATGTTGACTTTAGCCTTTCTTGAGACAATGGGATCACATTTCAAAGTCTTTGTTTTAAAAATCTAGCTTGTAACAGGATAAGGCTCACATCTGAAGTCAGTTTGTGGCAGCCACGTTGAGCCCTTAAGTAGGCTGAGTTCATCTTAATTGATGTGGGCAAGCAAAATTGTTTCCCATTTCCAAAATGAGAAATCACAACATCAGTACCCACACCCAGAAAAAAAACCAAAAAACTTCCATGCATCTGTGCCAGTACTTTCTTGTTATAAATTACATTTTGCAGGCCTTACAGTGGTGTTATCATGTCACCTTCAATTTTTAGGTTTCCCCTGCCGGAGGTCAAGATGACAGGATATTGGACCATAAACCAAGGTGGCAACACTCGACGCAAACTACTGTGTCCCACGGACACACGGCCCATAGATGTCAAGGTATACACATGAAGACAGATTATTACAGTGTGATGCCCCACACTTCTCGTGTATTGGACCAGTACTTAAAGTGAGTGTCTGTGGTTATCTTACATTCCTCCCAGCTACAAAAGACTGACAGCAGTGAGTTTTTAACATAAGAAATGTATCAAGATGTTCATCAACAACCCAAATGGTTCCTCTGGTTACATTGCTTATCGAATGTACTCTTTTAACTCTTTCGCACTTAAGCTGCAAGCAGAACACTAGAGTGTGCCATGTTGTTGCAATAGTATGACTTGTTTTGATATATTGTGAGTACGTGCGCACTGCTATAAGTGTCTGACGTGTGTTTCCAGGGCCCAGTGTTTCTGCGTGTCCAGAAGCACCCCTGCAACAGGCAGGAAAGCAGGGCTTTGAGTTTCACTGAAGAGAAAGCCCACTGGCAGATTCCCATGAATGAAGTTAACATCATCTGTGACGTCACCACCAAAGATGGTATTATACAAGCAAACACAAACTTGCGCACGTTATTAAGCAGTCCCTCCTCGAGTCTGTGTTATCAGATGTTCTTTTCTTTGCGAGGCTTTAGAGATTTCAGAGGGTGAAGCATCATGAAGTAAATAAGGTACTATATACAGGAAGGAATAACAACAATAAAAAACGTTTACCCTAGGCCTCAGTATGTGTGTGGACAGTACAGGATGAAGCAAGGAAACTGTTTGAAGTATGTACTGGAAACAGTGCGCAGCTGTGTAAGGGAGAGGAAAAGCACAAGATATGCAGTGATGGTGATCACAAACTGGAAGAAGACAGGATACCATTAACATGACATAATGAACAAAGATGGATTCATGTATTTAAAAAGTAATTAGACCAATAGGAAAATCACTAACGACAGAACAACATTTAAAAAAACACCTGGAAATTTAACAAGGTAATTAAAAATTCCTAATTATAGAAATTTTAGTAAAATTAAAAACAAAAAGATATTAGAAGAGATTGGATTTTTAATACTGTTTTTTCCCCTGAGTTATTGGTTCTTGAGTTATTAAGGATGGAGTTACTGTTACAACTTTTCAGTAATTTACAGTTTGAAGTAGTTGGAAACTTACCACGGACACACGGTTAGACTTTGCGCCATGTTTGTTCAGCTGTGGTGCTACTCTGCTACATGTGCTGCAGGCAGTGCTGAGAGGACGTAACTCTTCTTAACAAACTTTGTGAGGACACCATTTGTAAATCACCCCAGATGTCTTTTTCTGCACCATGCTCTATAAAAGAGACAATCACAAGTGTTACATTGATGCACAAGGGTGGCTGTTGCTCAGGAGGTAGAGCAGGCCATCTACTAATCGGAAAAGTGGTGGTTGGATTCCTGGCTGCTCCAGGCTGCATGCCAAATATCCTTGGGCAAGATACTAATCCCATTAGATACAAAAGAACTTAAACATAGAAGAAAAAAGTGCTGGAGTGTATGGGTGAGTGAGGGATCTTATATTAGGTGCTTTGAGTGCTCTAGGAGAATAGAAAGGCGCTGTATAAGAATCAGTCCATACATACTGGACAACATATATCCTCATATCTTTGCAGTAAGTCCATACTGGCCGATGAAGCTTTATATCAGCTTTAGGTGGCCTAATCAGAAGCATACTGAAAAGCACCTGTCAGACTTCACAATGGAGGTAAAAAAGAAAAAAAAAACCTTTAAAGCAAGCCTCACACCATGTGAGTCATCTTAAAACACCTGAATCCACTCAGTTGGGTAGCTATTTTGAAACTTTATCTAAGTATATTTAGATTTATTTCAGTAGTCATCAGTATTTACAAACTTTACATTTACAGAATTTACTTAAAAAACAGATTTTAAACTTCAAAGGTTTGCTGAATTCACCCCCAAATAAGTTTTTGGTCTCCTGCAGAATTCTTTCATCAGTTCAATCCAGAATCACTTGAGTGCCATGTGTCCATTAGAACATCGGTTGTGTCAGAAATCACCCCTACAGTGTATTTATTAATCCCTATATATTAGATCAGTGATGATCACCCCTAATTTCAGATTGTCACCATTTTGCATCGACACCGACAGCTGCAGAGTAACATTAGTCTATTTAATTAGCACCTTGCATTCTGGGAAATGTACTGCCTGTTGCAGTAGCTCAATTTACAGAATGCATTCAATCTTTGTTTTGACAGATGTGCTGTATGTGGCCACCTGTAACCCAGTGTCCCTGTACTCCATGAAGGAGCGGGGGGAAACTATCGAGTGCATAGAGCTCTACGATGTCTTCCCCAGGACCATCAGTGGTGTCTGGCAGCCCTTTGTTACGGTTGCTCCACTTGGGAGTCCCCTGGATGGACAGGTGGTGCTGCACGAGGAACAGGTTGGCAGACAAATATATACACATGTACACAAAAACATGTTTGCATGATTAGATTACATTAGATTGAGTGAATGAAATTAATGTACCCAATGAGATTTTCATTGTTAATGTTACACATTTTCACCACAGCCTAATGGCCGTTTATCCAAACTGCTCTAAATGCCTGTTCAAAGGGAAGTGGGGTTTGGGGCTGTGCTGGCATTTCTCACATGCTCCCTAAAAGGCTTGTAGCTTGTAACACTTAACATACCTTTGGACAAGGTGACGTTTTTCAGTTTTTGCCCACTTTGATCAGTTTGTACATTTTGCTATGTTATCATTATTTCAGTTTTCAACCATAGACTGTATACAACAGTATACAAAAGTATTTTGACGACCATCATGAGGTTGAAGTCATTATGTCAAAGTGTCTGGCTTCGTTAGCAGGTTGATTCATATACAGTATGAGTGCATCACACAAATAGATGTGCTTGCACAAGGTACTCCATAAAAAGGAAACACTGGATCATCACAGTATAGCACAAAGTCAGTTAACCTTCAGGGATATCTTTCTGTCCAGTTAGGAACCATAAACCGTTATGAATCTATTTCACCTGTTTTGGTGCAAATGAAAGTGACAGCAGGTGAACTGGAGTAGCAACTCCAGGTGGTGGCCACAGACCGTTCTTCTTTATTTATCAACAATACCTGGTATGGTGCCAGGCGCTTTTATAAATGTGGTCAGGAAACCTAGTGTCCTTGAAGTGATTGGTCTGTCTTAGACAGGTGGTAGTGGAGCTTCCGTGACTGGTCAAATATACGTTTGGGTGTTGCTAACTTTAACAGCATCAAACTTGACTGACTTTTGCAATTGATATAAACGTCTGAGTTCCAGAAGATGATTTATTCATCAAAGCTGTACAGCACCCCCAGTGGTCAAAACTCACAACAGTGTGTCTTCAAGGTAGTGGAGGGGAGTCAAAACAAATACAACAAAACCAAAGACACACACACATAAATGAAAAGAATCACCATTAAGTATGTTTTGTAGTTTTAGTGGTATAAAAAGGGTGCACTTGCATCTTTTGGTCTTCACTGAGGAACCCTAGTCTAACCATTTTTGTCTAACGTCCTTGTTTACAATCCAGTAACTGGACACTTACACAACACTGGTATTTAAACTTTTTTTTTTATTTATTTCTTGAGGACAACCACAGATTCCTCACAGATTTAAAATAGCTGTGCAGAAGTCCGCTTCTTAAAATGGTTGGAGGTTAGTGGTTGTTGAGTCGGTCGTTGAATCCCTCTTACCCCGTAAGACCCAGAGTGTCAGACAAGAACAATGTGTGTAGGCTGTTTCTCCGACCAGAACACTTTCACAGCTGGTGCATATTAGGCAAGAGGAGGACTTCTAAAAATACTGTGGCGATGGATCATGTTACGTCTGTCTAAAAATGAAGAGGTCCAGACAATATGAAGTTCATTTGCAGGTCATTGGCCTTCCAGGGAGATCAGGGAAACCATCACACACACACACACACACACACACACACACTCACACACATTTCACTAGCTGGGCCCACTTCCTCATATTAGGTTTGACAGCATTTTAGTAGGTAAAGGTGAATGTTTGGACATGAAGTGAGCTGCGGTTTGGGGAAGGCCTCGAAGGGGACTGGCAACGGCTCCCGGGCCTGGCAGATCCCCTTGTACTTAAATAGGAGTGAAGAAGTTAAAGAACGATACATAATCTCCAATATACAGAGGTTGGCCGATTGTGCTAAGCATACACACATGAATGAATGCATCCACAGTCTTGTGAAAGTATTTAAAGACATCACAATGGTACATTTAAGGATATGAAAACATAGCAGTTATATTTTTATCCCTCAGATACACAAAATCTTAGTGCAGATACATCCACATGCAGGATGCACACGTGTGTTCTCAGATGTACATACTTCCTCCAATGGCAGTGTATGTTTAGAATCAGGAAATGGATTTTGCCCTCTCTGTCTTCAGTATCACTGTGTGAGTGTCAGGAATGGGAGGCCATAAGGAAACCATTAGCGTGAAGCAGGGTAGCCGGGCCCGAGGCCAGCTCCCCTGTGGCTCCTTCTCATAAAACTCAATTGAAGATGAATCCTCGTGCGTCACAAACGAAAGCCTTTTGCACAGTTCATCCAAAACACACACACACACACACACACACACACACAAATATCCTGCATACAAACACAGAAGCCCATACGGGCAATCGGTTTATCCTTGAATTGAATTAGTTGAAAGTGCAACAGGGACATTTGTTGAATGTAGAGGAACATCAGCACCCAAACCAGAGGGTTCCACTGGAAGAAGAGCACCCTCTGTTGATGGAGGAACTGTACTGGAGGAAATAAACACTAGGATTTATAGTATTAAGCAGAAATGGTCATAAACAGTCTCATAATTAACAAAAACAGGAGACCACACAGGGAATTACAAGTTGAAATCAAGAAATATTTAGTTAATTCAATGAAACTAATTGAGAAGAAGTCGATCAGCTGTGTGGGTGGTGTAAAAGAGCACAGATGGAGGTTATTGGAAGTGTTTGCAAGTTTAACCAAAGCAAAAGACAATCCTAGTCACTGATGAGCTCAGGGACAGTTAAACCCACATTTACCACAAAATATAGAAGAAACCACATGGGTAAGAGTGAAGGTCCACAAAGTACTCTTCAAAAAGCAAAAATAATAAAGTTAATTTTAAAAATAAATAATTCTAACATTTTTTAATTTAATATCTTAGCAGACTTATAACCAACCTTTTCCATCAATCTTCCAGGTACGCTTGCTGACACTCTCTGTAACCTTGTTGTCTGTAGGAGCATTTTAGGAGACAAGAGGACATATGGCAGAGAGGGGAGGGAGAGGGGACAACTGTATTCAGTGTTGACAGTTTTGTGTTATACAAATGTGTTGGATCTCCATGTGATTAGGCTGTAAAAATGCTGCCCACCTCACTACAGGTTTGGTTTGAACATTAAAACATGAGAAGACACTCCTAAGTCTTTCAAATAACAAAATATTTCATATAATATGCATTTAGCTTTTTGGACATGTGTTTAGGCACAGAGCTGCCGAGTGATTTGTAGACAAGCAGCTGTATGTTAAAATCAGTGTCCTGAATGACACTACTAGTGCTGGTGTAGTGAGCTTGTATTTTCTTGTCAGCAAGCTTTGTTTGAAAACTGTGTAGATGGGAAAGTCCTGCAGTGGTGCATTGTGGTGTAGTGGTGAATGGCATCCAAATAGACAAATTAACACTCTAATTTTTATGGTTTAATTTTAATGGAGAGAGACAGAATATCATACATATTATACAAAAGTTATAATTTGCACCGAGTGAGAAAAGTGTTTGATCCCCTGAAAACCAGCCAGAATTTAGGCTCCTCTCAGTTGTATTCTCCAGGTTTTTTTTTCCAACAATATCTTTATTATTTTTTTTTTACATTTTAATGACTTACAAACAGTCCAACATTCTAAATACTACATGAACATACACTCCTCTCAGACAGCAAAAAGAAAACAAAAAAGTCGTCAGATTTATCACTCTATTAAAGGCCTAAATTTGTCATTATCCCAAATCAAATGTCATTGCCCTCAGTCCTCGTCCTCCTCAGATAATACAAATCCTTCTACAAAATTCACAAATGGTCTCCACACCTTCTCAAAAACATCCAATTTCCTTTTCAGTATACATGTTATCCGCTCCAGTGGCAAAGCCACCATCATTTGTTTTATCCACTGTGTGATACTCGGTTCCCTTGTTTTTTTCCATTTTAGTGCAATTAATCTTTTTGCTTGTAACAAACCCATATCAATAAACATTCTGTCACTTTTTGTGTACCTCATGTTTTCTGGGTACAATCCCAGAATAAGGAAGCCAGGATCCAAAACAAGCTCCTTGGATAATATTTGTTTCATAGTTTGTGTTACTGCAACCCAAAAGGAGCCAATCTTCCTGTAATCCCAAATACGATGCCAAAAGTTACCCTTATCTTCATTACATTTATTACAAGTGTCTGGAATATTAGAGTTGTACTTATTTAATTTTTCCGGAGTAACATATATTCGCATTAACCATTTGTTTTGCAACAACCTTAGTCTAGAATTAATAGTTTGTTTATGAGCTTTTGCACAAACCAATGCCCATTGTTCCATGGATATGTCCTTCTTTAAATCATTTTTCCAGGCGTTCAACCTTCCCAACAAATTGTCAGATGTTTTGGACCTAATCAATTTATATATTTCTGATATTGCCCCTTTTTTTGAACTGCTTTTACTAATTATGTCTTCCAATTCTGATTTTGGTGGTTTGGTGCAGGTATTATTTTGATTTGCTCGAATGTAACTTCTAATTTGGAGATATTTGAAAAATTGCTTTCTATCTATATTATATTTATGTCTAAGCATATCAAAGGACATCATATCTTGAGAATCTGTTGCATACAAATCTTGGATTTTTTGGAGTCCTTTAATTGACCATTGGTATTCTCCAGTTTTAATTCCTCTTTCTGTCTCTTTAGGGTAACACAGTGCTCCATTTGGACTTGGTGACAGGCGCCTTGCGGAGGCTCATAATTTCCCCCGACAGTGATCAGTCTTCCAGCAGAGCGTCGAACTGGTGGAACAGTAAGGAACAACAGGTCAGAAGACTCTGCGTCTCCAGAGACAAATTTAAATTCACTTGTGGCTCGTAAACTCTTTGCTTTTCATTCAAGGCTTTATTTTTTCCACGTGACTAGATTTAAATCTGACATTGAACTAGACTGCATTATGAAAAGACTTGTCAATTATTCATCTGATCATTCCGTGAAAAGATTTGAACTTAATGTGTTTTTGTTTCTGTGATTGTTGCCTGCAGGCAGGGTATAAAATGTGTCGTGACTTCTCCCACAAAAACTGGCTTCTGTTCTATAAGGAGGACAGGTAAACTACATCCATGACATTGTTACACAGCACCAGCATCCTGAAGTCCTGTGGTATCAGTCGCTGCTTTTGCATGTGCAGCAACCAGCTGGAGGTCCTGGATGTGCTTGAGGGACAAGTTCACTCCATCTCCCTTCCGATCAACCTAAAGTCTGTCTTCCTGGTGGCAGAGGACCGCTGGCTGCTGCTGGAGAGCAACTCTAACAAGTAAGTAATGGATCTCAAATATCTGTCTTGGTCTCTGGATAGAACTTTAAAATAATCGTGCATGTCTGACTGTATAGGAAGTTCCTGCTGACCAAGCCCATGCACATGGCAGCTGAAGACTCTGGAGTCTGTCAGCTTCACAGCATCAGTGAGGACTCAGTCAACTCAGGCCATGGAACAAGCTCAGGTATATATTCACACACACACACACACACACACACAGTCGAAATGAAAAATCTTACTTTTCTTGGGAAAAGTAAGATTGGGACCTCTACCAGAGGTCTGGGAGCTTAATGGTCCTGTGCAGTATCTTAGCTTTAACTAGACTGGTGCTTTTCTGGACACAGATCCCAGATGTCATTCCTGGGATGTTGTGGTCTATCACACCAGGCGAGATCCTTGGTGCTGGCTGTGCAAAGATACCCAGAGACAATCCAGAACATAACAACAGTGTCCAGGATGCAAGCAGGCAGGGCATACATGGAATAGCACAACCAAGTAGCCTGTATAATATACAGGAATATCTGTGCTGAGTATGGCCTGTCCCAAGGTCAAAATGGAAAATGCCCCTTTGAGTTGTTGAGAACAACCGAATTATGATCCTGTAGGACTTCCAGTTACAGACAGGCAAAGTGGTGGCGGCTAATCAACTGGACATAGTGGTGGTAGACAAGCAGAGGAAGAGGGCTGTAATGATAGATGTAATCTGTATTGACTAGTGGCCTTTAGCTCTGATGGCTTCGGGGTTTTCGTGGTCATCATGATCCTGATGACCCTGACTGATGAAAGCCACAAGCCTAAACACGTCAGTCCAGCAATAAAGATATGTTCTCTACAAGTTTTGACTTCTTGTGGTCATAAATCTTAGAAAGCTGATGTCAGTAACTGGTGGACAAATATGCAAAACAACTTCAAGATGTTGTTCAATGCTAGCGTCTGGAGGCCAAATATGCACTTACTTTTTCCATTCAAGAATATCCGTTTATATTTTTATCAATAAATAATTGAAAAGCTAATAACTTGTGATGTTGCTCATGTATATCAACTTTAACTTTTAGAGACTGTTTCAAAGTGTTTGCTTCTTTAAATATGTCAAATATCCACTTGTGGGATATACTGTTTTTTCTTCTCCAACATTATATTCATCACATTTTTAAATGGACTAAAAAAGCCACAAAGAAACGAAAAAGAACAAACAAACAAAGCGGGTCCTACTGCGCTTAAAAGGTTTGCACGTTTTGATCGTAATTAGTGAAATCTCTTTTGAAATAATCTTTGTACCATACCATAATTTATTGATATAGCACTTTAAAAACAGCACATGGGCGGCCAAAGTGCTGTACAGCAGAAATATAAAAAGTACAATAAATAAATAACAATAAATTAACAATGTCAGTTACTCACTGAGTCAAAAGCCAGCAGATAAAAATCCATGTTTAACCTGGATTTAAAGACCAATACTGAAGTAGATTGCCTAATGTGACGGGGAAGAAGAAGAATTCTCAGTCTCCTCCAAGTTTCAGCCACGATTTAGGGGCTGAGAGCAACAGCTGCTCAGCTGACCGGAGTAAACGAGGGGGGACATAGGGCTTCAGCAGATTGGATAAATATACAGGCGCCAAACTGTTTAAGAATTTACAAACCAGTAAAATGATTTTAAATTGGCAGCCTGTGTAAGAAGGCCAGAACTGGAGTAATTTGCTCAAATTTTCTTTTACCAGTTAAAAACCGTGCTGCAGCATTATGCACCAGTTGCAGGTTTGACAGAGCACCCTGGCCAACCCCTATTAAAAGGGAGTTCCAGTAATCCAAGCGTGAGGTTATAAAAGAATGGATGACAGGTTCCAAGTCACGCCTGGAGAGAAGAGGCTTACCTCTGACAGACGTCTGAGGTAAAAGAATGAAGATTTCACCACCACATTTACGTGGCCATCAAAACGAAGTGCACTGTCGATTTTTACCCCAAGATTAGTAACCGAGCTTTTCAGGGGTCAGAGCAGCAAAGTCAACATCTGGGGTACCAAAAGAACGATTGAGACCGAATAAAATTCCTTCAGTTTTACGTTCATTAAAATTTTAGAAATTTTAGAAATTTTGACTTAACATCGCTAAGACAATCAAGCAGGACTCCAACCGAGGAGCTGTCAGAGTGATTAAAAGATAGATAAAGCTGGCAATCGTCACCATATAGATGAAATGAAATTTTGTGTTTTCAGAAAATCGCACCTAATGCCAAGGTATACAATGAAAACAGCAATCTCCCTATGTTTATTTAACAGATTTTCATGTTCTGCTGTATTGCTGTGTAGCAGTTCTTAAAGACCCAATTAACATGGAGACTGAAATAGAGAGAATTAAACTAATAACAGCTGTATTTCAGACCTCTAAGTTTATACATTAAATGGTCATAGGTTAAATACATTTTCAAATGTTTAGTCATGACTTACATTTAGACCACAAAGTCTATAGCTCATAGTTGTAACACTTCAGTGGATTGTATTCTTAAGAGGAAATGCGGGAGCTTCTTGACAGGTTTCTAAATGATGTAATTTCTGCATTCTTCACATGAAGTACAAAGATTGAGTAGAGTTGAGTTCAGAGGTAGGGCAATTGATTTCCCAAGGAGCGAGGGCTGTACTAATAAGCTTATAAAGAAATAAAAATTAATATTGAGCACGAGTGAGTTCAGCTTATTGATGTGACCCTCAACAACACTCAGTCCCAGTTTCCCCCAATGGACAAGTTGCTATTTCTTTCTTTTTCTCACTGCTTTCTTTCATGTTTCTGTTCCACCGAACTCATGCTGGTCCATCACTGCAGCCGAGTTGTCTATACCCCAGATGCTGTCATGTGAGCAGCTACCCAACGAGAACCTGAGTGCCGCTCTGAACCAGAAGATTGTTTCCCCTAACCGTGTGCTGGTTGACACAGATTCCTACGCGCGGCTCATCGTCGGCTTCCCAGATCTCATGGTGAGATTATGAGGGAATTTGGTGAAGAAATTTGTGTGACAATAATAATTCTTTTTCCAGTTTCCTGTCTTCTTTCTTTTTATGTTTCTACTAGAAGTAGAAATATCTAGTTTAACTCTATAGAGCTTGAAGGGAAGTGGGGTCATGTGGTGTTAGCATTTTTTTGGAACCTATTTAAAAGTCAAAGCTAAGACAGGGCCTAGCTTTGAGTCTGTATTTTATCTGCCTGATTCATTTATGAAAAAATGAAAGAGTTAGAGAAGATGTTAATTGAAAACAAAGAGCATTGTGAGTGAGTTACTCTAATGCGTATGACCGATGGCTTAAGAGTGACGTTTTCCTTCGGATTTCTTCTCTTGATGAGTCACCTAATGAAGTGTACAGCTTTAAAAGACCCGTCAACCTATCAGCGATAAAGAGTGGTGACAGCGGGGCTCAAGCATTCTTCAGAGGAGGGCTTCGGAGCGCCACGGCCAAACAGGAGAATTGTGTCAGTCTGATCCCGGTCAATCAGGTGGTTCGAGCTCTTCCACCTAACAAAGTCCCCCTAAAAGAGCTGTACCCCAAAGGTCAGAGTTCACCTTACATAAAGGTTTTCAGGAAACATAAGTTTTGAAAGTTTTCAAAAGTTTTAAGATTAGTTTTCTTTGCCACTCAGACGTCACACCTCCAATGACAGCGGCATACCTGGAGGTGACTGATCTCAACTCCAAGAAGCTCAAATATATTCCTGTTCCAAGGTAAACAGCTGGTGTCTTACTACTTCACCACCTCGTTCTGCAGTACTTTCAGAACAAGAATGTAACTTTACATCCTTTGGCTCCAGCTAGAGGTCAGTGACAGCATTGCACTATAAAAGAAAAAAAAACCCAAAAGTGCTAATATATCTTCTCTGCATCTTACATGTGTTCAACCTTGGAAACTTGTAATTTTTTTAGAGGACATATTACGCTTTTTTTCCCCCTAATTTTTGTCTCTTAGACAAATGGATACTCATATTTAACATGGACCAGGTTCCAAAAAAATTAACTGAGCATATGTGAAAATTGTCATTTCAAGTACACCACTCTGCCGGTAAGCGCAGAAGCCCCTCCTATCATCTATTTAAGAGAGGCAGCTTTAAAGGGTGCAAAGAGATAAAACATTTGTTTCAGAGGATGATCTGAAAGCCTGCCCCAAGGCCCAGTATAAGATCTATACAGACCGTGAATAAATATCATTACTATAATTGCATCAATGGTCCCTGCTTATCTAAATCAACTTCTTTTTCTGTGTTCTGTGTTGTGACCTTTTCTTGTATCTGTAATTGGCAGGTCAATGACTGTGTCGCCCTACACCAACTGGGTGTCCAAGGTGTCAGAGTGTGATGTGCTGATAGCTGCTCTTGGTTCTGGAGGTGTCGTCACAGTGGATATGGGCGGGTACATCCGTCTCTGGGAGACAGGATTAGACACCTTGCAGCGCTCACTGATGGAATGGAGGAATATGATTGGCTCAGAGGACGGCAGACCCATACAGGTAATACAACAGACTGTCTTTGAGCACATTACATGGCTCATTGATACGTTTCTCTATAGAATTCCACAAAGTGGCAAATACAATGACTAGAAACGCTTGCAGCCTGCAGTTAATCTCCACACCACAGAGGGGCAGCACCTCTATTTTAAAGCAACTCTCCATTGGAAGTTGCTCTGCATGCTCGCCTCACATTTTGGCAGAAGACATTAGCTGAAACATTTCTGTTTTTGTGCTAAAGGGAATATTTTCAGCTCCATAATTCATGACCCAGCTGTACTCAGGGTGGGTGGTTATGAATGGCTGGCTGTCGTGCTGATGATGCAATAGCTTTGACCCTTAGTGTAGGTCAGAACATTCAGACCAGAGCACTGAGACAGCATTGTTTAGGTGCCCACATGTGCACATAGACACAAACATTCTTGGCATATTGGAGTTGTCCACATGCAGAGAGCATTAGCTGCAGATCTGTGTTTGTTGCACCAGGCATGAAGATAGAAGATGCAACATGGCCTGAAAAAATGGTAACAAGGAGACCAATCATGAAGTTGTATAATATCAGTGACTAATTTTTGGAGTCTGAGCTATCATGCATTGGTTGCTGTAAAACATATCACAAGGCTATCCCAAGCGTCTTTGTGTGAGATTATAGACTCGAAAACACCCATAGCTCACCGTTTCTGCCTGTTTCTGGTTTAGATTTGTCAATAGTCATATCTTCTTTGGTGGGTCACCTTGAGTCCACTGTAGGTTAGACTTGGACAGACTCTCCCTGTGCTCAGTCTCAGCAAACAGCATGGGCTCTACTGAGTTTGTTCACAGCCGCCTAAAAGGCTCTCTATATCTGCTTTGCCAAACAGTGTACATACTACGTTAGCTCTATATGGGCGTAGATGTTTGCACAGTATGTGCCAAGTACCTTGTTTTTATGACATGGTTATAGAGCATAACAGAATGGGTTCTGACTAAAGTGTGAAGTGGAAAAAAGAAGGAAATCTGTTCATGCTGGAGGTGGTTAACAGGTTTAAAAAACAAAGCTTATGTCACGACGGCTTATTGCCTTTGTAATACTCATTAATATCTCTACTGTATACTTCTGGAAAAGCACACTATGAGCTATGTGTGTGTGCCCAAGTAAGCGTGGCGCCTCCACACATCGCTCTGACTTTGCTCCATTACAGTATAGCTGACATCATTCCTGTAGACAAAGATACATAGGAGACATCACTCATCATCTATCTGCACGCATGGTGCCAGATTGGTGTCTGCAGCTGTCCTGCATATTGCAACCAGTTATAGTCACTCAACCTGACGTTTAATTGTGTGATTTGTTGTTTTTACACTTCCCTGTTTTTGGCAGGTTTGGCCAGGTGCCACTTTTTCATCTACCTAGCCTTTCCCCACTGACACAAGCTCTTCAGTTTCACTCATATTCATGCATGCACATGCTTGCTTCCTCAAAGTTGGTCCTACCTTAATGTACATGTCTGTATGCTGTACCAGTTGTAAAGTATAGGGCCAAGTATGTTAATACAAGTCATATAAATATGGCATGTTGAACTCTGAGACAAAGCTTTCTAACCACATTGCTCACTGTCTAAATTAGTCGATCTTAATAATAGTTTCCGAAATCTCTTTGTGCCCATCCATTCATGCATCCATCTATATGTACATCTTACTGAAAAGCCACTGATTAATGGTGCAGTGTTGTACATGTAGTGTTGTAGTGTTGTACATTCTGCACCTACATGTAGATACAGATTGTGTTTTTGATGAGGAAAGAATATGTATGCAGATGTGCACAGACATGGATGTATGCTTTTCTGCTCTTACTGAGTGCTCTTACACTATGAATTGAGTCTGTCCTTAGAGTTTCCATTTTTTCAAATAAGTAACTTTGTGATTGCCTCCATGTGAGAGTATCTGTGCAAAAAAACCCCCCCAAAAGACAAGTGCAGAGTGGTTTCCACACTGGTATTGCTTAATTTCAGGTCATTCAGAACCTGCACGCACACACACAACATAACAGAGCTTCATCAATCTGCAGATACACTGAATCACTGAGACCTTTATATAACACACAGAATATTTTTGAACGTTCGTGTACGGGCACGCATTTATGCTGACACCCACACACTAGCGTGCACCCAGCATCACACTGGGACATGTATTTACTCAAGAAAAGGGCTGACCTCATGCACTATTTGTGACTGCATACACACATTCAAAAGTGTGTATGCACACTTACACCATCGCTCTTATATCACTGTCTGTCTGTAGTGGTCTGAAGGGAGAATAAGAAATTTATGAGGCTATTTATCCTAGAAGACAAGGCGTGGACCGCAGGTAAGAGACAGACAGAGACATATACTGGTAGAAAGCAAAAGAAAGAAAAAGGGCGGGGTAAAAACGTTGATTCCCACTGTCATTAAAAATGAAGTTTTCTCCACTGACGTTGCCATCCTTTTTCCCTTAATTCCTTCTTTTGGTTTCTGCCTGTCTCTCAGCGCTAAGGTGCCATCATTAGCTTACTGTTTATGAGTGGGACATGCAGCAACAGCAGCACACCAACACATTTATCCAAGATTTACGCAGTAATTTGACATCAACCATTCAGTTCTGTGGTGCTTCTTTAAACCCCAAATTGTGGTTACGGAGCATAGTAATCTGTCTTTTGTTTGGAGCAGGAAATTCAAAATTACTTTAGCATGAGACAAGCACCAATCAAGCACGCTGTCCAAACATACCCAGACTCTGTGGAGAAATAAATGAAGATTGGCATCAATGCAGGTATTATAAGGTATTTACAGTTCAGCATGTTCTTCAAAGGTGTTTTCCTGCTCTTACGGAGCTGCTTAAACTGCATCAAAGCTTTGCCTTAAGCGTGATACAATCTTGGAATATTCATTCTAATCTAAGCAAACATCTCTACGCATGAAACATTCAACTCTTAATTTCATTCATTACAGTGTGTGGTTTTATCAGTTTTGCGTGACTGGTAAGAATCATCCATCCTTAAATCCTTTCATGCTAAAGATGCCAGTGTTAAAAAAAACAAAAAAAAAAACAGGGTTTTAATTCAATTGTGTGTCATTGTTTAAATCAGTGGTGTCAAACAGAAGGCCTGGGGGCCAAATTAGCCCGACAGAGACTCCCAATATCCTAAAATCCCACTGGATGGCTTTGGAAAATGTGAAGAAGGGCATATGTTTGGGACTTTATTTTACAGTTTTTCCTACTGATCTATTTGTCTATACAGAAAAAAAGAAGAAGCGAAAACTGTGTTTTCTTATTACAAGACATTTTGGGAAATGAGGTACTTTTTATGTAATTTTACAGATCTGTTAATTACAATTTAGTCCCAAAAAGTCATCCTGACAGATTTCTTTAATTTACCACACCAGAATTTCTTCATCGTGTTGAAAAACCGAGATGTACTGTGGATATCGTGTTATTTTTTTTCATATGAACATAAGTGAGAGATTCCATATGTGTTTAAGCTTCTGTACTTCTGTACTTCATATCTGGTTATAAACTTTATAAAATCTGGTATTTTAAACATGCTCAAGAGGTCCAGTTCAGTGGCTCAGATATGTGGAGGTGAAGCAATGCCCCAACGACCTTTAAGCCTTAAGCTTCTAATTCATTCAAATGGAGGAATTATAAAAATGTGAGTGTACAGTTTTATATGAAGTGTGAAATGATGCATAGAGGTTAAAACCATTTTTTCAGTGAATTTTAACATGAAAGGCCATGTTTTTTTCACCTTTCCGTGACATCTATTTTTCAGCCTGGGAGGTCATCGGTTGTGTTTTTCAAAGACAATGAGCATTAAGTTGGTGTAGCAAGATCTACTGGAACAGTTATAGTTTAGCCGACATTAGCTGTGTCTGAAATCACTCATTTACTAATCCTGGTATAATAGACAGCCAATAGTTCACTCAAAGCTGAACAGTAACTGACATAATGAACACACGCTTGCACATTGTGTCATTACCATAGGCTGTTCAGACTTTAACAATCACTCTGGAAACTCTAAATTCAGCACATTTGTGAGACTGTAAGTACATTTTTCTTTTCTCTTCTTTTCTGTTCTGTCGTTCCAGTTTTAAGGGCACTACACGGATAAGTTCTCATCCTTAATTAAGACATTCTAATCAGTTGATGCAAATTATATGTAACACACCATGTAGCAAACAGGGAATGATTTTAGACATGACCTTTTATTACAGCTAAAGATGATACATATATTTTTGTGTGCATAAATATCTTTTATGGAATTAAAGGAGAACAAGTTGTGTTAATACATCAAAATATAGCTTTCATAAGGGATTTTATATTAGATTAGAACTCAACACTAGTTGAGAACTCAACCCTTTTCCTGGTTTGAGAGTCAGATTAGAGTGCATTAGCAGTGTGGTGATACATTCATAATTATGCTGCGACGCAGAGAGAGTGTTATATCTATATATAGTGTGATGACAAGGGTGAATTACTGAAATAAGCCGACGCTAAGAAAATCCCATAGCTCAACTTCCTCTGTGAATGACAGGCACAAAATGAGCATCGGGGACCAGGTGATGTTAACCTGATGGAGATGGTGCTAGGTCGGTGGCACTAACTTTTATCGAGTGATTGTAATCTCATTCAAAAACACTTGTATAGCAACTGTAAGCCTTAAAGTCATATTCCTGTGGATCAGGTGCACACACCCACTCCTCAACATGACACAGGCATGTGTGCAGCACAGCTCATGTTATGCAGAGGTTCCTGAGAGGCACATTAGTGCGTAATCAGAGATCAGTTATAGTGGTGGAGGTGAGCTTTGGTTATTGACCAAGGTCTCACTACTTACTCAGGTTAACACTAGTTTCTTCTTAATTTTTTTAAAAGACATTTTTACTGTCGGCCAGTATAGGCAATACTCGTGTCAGTCTGTTGTGTAAGGCAGGCCACACAGCTGGAGTTCTGCTGTGATTGTGCCTCACTCTTTGAGTCTGTGTCTATTTGTAGGAATGGAGAGTGTTTAAAGTTGTGTTTTGCATGTATGGCTTGATTAGGTCTAACGCTTTGAATTTGTCTACTTTACCCACATGAAATGGCTATTTATCAATGAAAAATCAAAAACATTGGTCCAGTCACGCATGTTGTTGTCCAACTGTAATCAAGCGCATCAAGCTAAGTACCATAACATGGCTTTAAATAGCCAGGTCTCAATTGTTTTCTGCAACCTTTGAGGCTGGTCTTGGCAAGGCTACACATCAGCATCAACATGAAAAAGCATCATTTTGGCTCCAGTGATTGGTTTGGGGACTTCTCCCCTTGGGAAAAGGAAAAAGTGAATAAAATATTTTGATTTTTATTTGGTTTTTTTTAAAGATATTCTCCCGGGTTTGTTCATTTGTCACTATGTTACTCATATGTGAACTCATAACTTCACAGTATGCTACGTATGAAAATTGGGACTGATGAGTAGACGTGGTAGAGGTGGATGGTTTGAAGCAGCAGGCAGAGAGACATTTCACAGATGGTGATGGGAGCTAAAATAGGCTGCCAAACTTAGATGGTGTGTTTGTGATGTGATGTGTAGAGAGGGTCAGGTTATGTGTGTGTGACGCAGAGCAACTCCAGTTGTCTGCCCGAACTAGCTCGCAGGGTTCCCTCTATCTGTGCTCTCACGTTGTAATGGTGACACATGCTCTACATTACCTCCAGTCTCCCTCTGTCTTATTACTTTAAGGCTGACGAGTGACTTTGTCTGCAATAAAATAATATCAGAAATGTCAAATCTACTTTTAGACACACTTTAACAGTTGTCTTAAATTTAAAATTGGAATTTACTATACATTCTGTATACATTCTTTCTAATGGCCAGCAGGGGCGACTCATCTGGCTGCATTTGTATAGACTGTGAAAAAATGACTCATTTTGTGAATTTAGCAGAAACTTTGAAGATGAGTTCATGGTCTTAATCACTATTTTCAGTTCTTATTGAAAGCAACTTGATGTTCATTTTAAACTATGCTCCCCATTGGTGGTTGACAACACAGGATATGATTTAGAAGGACCTTATATTGTGATCAACAAGCTGCGGCTGTGTAAGTAGTGTTTAGAGGTGCAGGTTGATTTAAAACGTTAATGTGAATCTGTTCAAGGATCCAAACATCTGTTGTCTGTCTGGTAAATCCCGTCATCAATAATAGAGCCTCTGTTTAAGCTCAGTACCACAATGGGCATTATCTTGTCCGTATAATCTGACTTGCTGTGTATCAGACTGATGCTCCTAATCTGAACTAAATATAGAGAGCACTGCTGATCCAGCAGCTTCGTGCAGGTGTGGGAACAGAGCCTGAGCTCTGAGCTCGTCAGTGTGAAGCGTGGACACTGGGTGAGGACGGGGAGGGGAGGGGTCCTTTTCAGCAAACTGCTGCTCCCTTCAGATAAGTCTCTGTTAACCACTCAGACCACAAGAAACCAATAAAAAAATCAACAGCAGAAAAGATAATAACTTGAACATACACACAGCGCTTTCCACAGTTTACAAGAGACATTTTTCCCCCCACAGATACCATTTGAATTCCTGCAATGTAAGAATACAGCTGAACCACAGGGGATACACTTAGTCTCCCACTGAACTACCCATTTCTCTCTCAGTCCTTCAAGCGTGCCAGACTCTGGCCTGCCGCCCTGCCTCAGAGTGAGAGGCAGCATGCTGATTTTGGCTCTGATGGTGCCATTGAGATGGACCTAAAAAAGCAAAGTTTTAACCTCTGTGTCTCCTTCCCTCCATCTATTATGCCCCCTGCAGAGAAAGACAGAGCTTATTCTGTCCATTCTGCTAAGACCTCACTACTAAATGATAGAGACTCCTTTAATTCTAATAATGTTTTGACTGATAATGCTATGTAAATGACTGTTTGGTTGTGTGTATGGCCCTCACATACTAGTTCAGTGCATCATGACATTGCAGAGAAAGGTTTTAGAGAAATGATCTGGGCTTATCAAGAAATGATGGCTGATCTCAAACCGGATTACATTAGGTGCTATTTGAACACACATACTTAGATTCTTTTTCATAATATGGATACATTTTTAGCTTGTCAGTTCAATTTACTCTAAAATAATAGAAATACCGAATCATTCTTTTGTGCATTTTTGTTATTTTGTATCAAAAAATGAGCATGTTTTTGTTGGACGTTTATGGCATTTTTATGACATCACCCACATGGCTTCCCTTCATCCTATCCTTGCAGATCACCATCCAGAGGGACAGTGGCCTGGATGTCAGCGCCCCGAAACATGGCAAGATCGACCCCCACAATGCTCCTCATGTCGGGGGTAACCAGTGGGCGGGAGGCACAGGTAACAGTTGTTTCTGACCACATTGTAACATGCATGAAGTAAAAAAATCCATGTGTCCAAATATATCTACAGACCCTTCTATAAACCCATTGCCAAAACTTGTAATGTAACCTATTAATATGTCCCTAGTATTGTAACTACATGCATGACACATTTTCGACTCTTTCTTCTGCTAACATTTTTTTTTTAATTTGACTGGAAGAGAATGGAGCCCCTTGAAGTGAGAAACTCCACCACCAACTAGTGTTTTGGCAGCAAAATTGCTGAACTTGGTTAGTCTGCATCATAGACACAATATAGATTATGTATCGTCATCTCAGGCACAAATCTCTGGCTGTGAAGATAGAAGCCTCACCCACCAGCTGTTCAAACCCTCTTGTTTATGAGGGCAACCAATCCGAACAAAGCTGAAATGGCTTCTTTCAGACAGAGGCCTAGTATAAGATAAATAGGCACAGACAACTCCAAAATAAAAATGTCAAGCTTGTTAGCAGCATTATAGGTCCTTTTGATAGTCAGAAGATGTGGTCAAATTTAGAAGGCAGCAGGAAAAATCTTCATCAGTCGTAGTGGTGAAACAGTCAGTTAATGTATCGTCTGTCAACAGAAAATTAACAACTTTTATATAGTCAGTTTTAATGATAATGATCTGTTTTACATTTGTGAGGTATGGCAATGCTTTTGTGTCAACGTTTATTAATGACAAAAGCTTCTGTAACAGTTGAATCGCTTTCTCTACAGGTGGCAGAGACACAGCAGGGCTGGGTGGCAAGGGAGGCCCCTATCGTCTGGATGCAGGGCATAAGGTCTATCAGATTTCACAGGTGGAGAAGGATGCGGTTCCTGAAGAGGTCCGTAAGGCAGCCCGAGAAATGGCTGAAAAGGCCTTCAAAGAAAGGTAATATGCATGAAATGCATGCTAAAAATAGCTGTGCGGTGTTGGAAAGCACGCTTGATCTTTAACCATATCCAAATAGAGTTAACACCACAGGTGCAACACAATGGAGAGGTGTGCAGACTTTTTTTGTTGGTTTTTTGTTCACTGATTGTTGCAAAAAAAACAAGTGTCTGAGGTGTATAATGTAATGTGACGTGAACCAGATGTGTGTGAACAATACGCATGTGTGGGCCATCTGCCACACCAGGTATGGTGCTCCAAACAACTCCAGGGTGCTCTGTCCCAGCTGGATGGTAAAGCACAGTGGTAGATCCCACTGGGCGACCTCTGTGTGTGTGTGTGTCTGTGTGTGTCTGTGTGTGCGTGTTGAGCCTATATTGACTTCAGAGGAGGTTAGGTTGCGAGGGCATCCCTTTCACCAGCTCATCCATGAAGGGCGTCTCTGTTCACTTTAGCTTCAAACAGTCCCCCCTTCCCCCTCCCTCTTTCCTGCATTGCCCTTCTCATACACTGCCTGCTTTCACCCCAAGAGGACAACCTCTCAGATTCTCCTCTCTCTCTCTTTCTCCCTCTTCTCTTCCCTCTGTCTTTACCCGTTTTAATAGCCTTGTTTTTCAGATTTTTTCCTCTGCCTTGTCTTCATCCTGTCTATCATTAAGCTCAGATAATATCTAGTACCTACATGCTGACGCTCTGCTATTCACTCACATGTCACTCTAACAGGTAAGCACAGACATAGAAATAAAGGGCTGCTTGATTCTTCTTTTCCATGCCACAAGCCAACACTGTCAGCCTTTTTCCTATTCCTTCCCAATGTGTGTCCAAAGTCATATGTTTACTTAGCTTTAAGTTAAGCATCAGTAAAACTAAGATCTTTGCAGAAACCTTTGAGTAAGTGACACACACACACACACATACACGCACACACACACACATACACGCACACACACACACAAAGATCTTCTGCTTGTTTTCAGTGGTGGTGAAAGACACCAGATAGTAAAACTCCCATTTCGATCCTGTGTTTTGTGGCCTTATTTTTTCCTCTTTGCAGTCATCCCCTTCTTTACAGTTTCACTCTTGCTGCATCCTTGCTTTTTATTTGAATTCCATAGTGGGTTTATGGACGTGCACTTAGGATCTGCCTCCTCAAATGCAAGAAAAGCAAAAGTTATATATAAACAAGAAGAAATGCTGGTTTGCAATGCAGGTTTATTTAAGATGGTCCAACCAATCAAAATCTGAATTTCCCTTTGTTATCATGGAAAAAGCATCCTTTGGTGTAAATAGGTGCAAGAGTATCCAGCTTGCTGTTAAAAGTCAGCATCCATAATGGTATTGGTGGGTTTGAGTGCACCTGGTATAACTAACACTTATATTTGAAAATGCACCACAAAAGAACAACAGATCCAGACGCCTTTTTGGAGACACATCACATTCTGCATGTATTACATCAGCGCTGATATCAGACCTCAGCACGTCATGTCTGGCCTGCAGACAGTTTTTCCTGTGCTGCAGGAAACACTGAAAACATTTGATGGATTATGAACAAAAACTGCAGGAAAGGAAGCTGTCTGAAAATCCTACGTCAAGGAAAAACTGGAAAACATTTGAGTTGCAGTTGTCCCTCTCAGTTCCCGAACTCTTCCAGTGTGGTTTCAATGAGATTCATTTACAAATAATCACATTGTTGTTACATTTACACTTCACCCACTGTTTCAGCTTGGAAACACGATTGTAGTTATGTTTAAGGAAATCCAAAGCAAATACACAAGAATGAGGTTTCCTAAATACCAGAGTAACACATCCAAATCCAAAAAATGGCTGTCCCGCTTCAAGATTTAAAGGGTGTTAACAAAGCTGTTATTGTTTTGTGAGGACTGTATTTCAAAGTTTCATTGCAATGACTGTAAAGAAATGCTCACATAATGTGACAGTTAATAGTCAGGCGACCACAAAGGCCTATTTAACCGCTCGGTTCCTCTAATTAAATGCATGACAATAAAGTAGTGAAAAAACACTATGAAAAATAGGAAAATAAAACTGTCTCTGTCCTTGGAAAAGGAGGTGTTTTGAGTGGAGGACAGCTTGTTTAGTAGCAGGGAGTGTCAACCTTAAGTCTTTGTTTTTGTGGTTGTTGTGTGTGAGTTCTCAGTGTGGCTCCACCTTATTTAGTAAAAACCCTCTGTTGCTCTCTCCCGTATAAGTCAAGGTTCAGGAATTTTCAGGAAATAGCTCCGGCCGCTGGCCAGAGTGTCTGCTCGCCACATCCATTGCATGCATCCTCACACTGATGCACGTATACACACACATAGGAATGTGTGGAGGAAGGCGTTGCTCTTGTTTTGTGGACTGACGCGACGCAGTAAGAATACACAGAAACAAACAAAATGGCTGTGTGTGTAGGTCAGATATTACTTAATGCAGATCAAGTTTGTTTATTGTACATTTACCTTTATTTAATTTCCTTTTAGATTCATTTGACATAGATTCTACTTCAAGAGTCCAAGAGGACACTGATATGATATGATGAGTGGTACATCTAACAGCTGAGTAGTAAAAACTTTGAAGTATCATTTATTTATATAAGTTGTAGGAAGGTCATTCACAAACAGTGAGGATGTGCACAAGGGATACTCTGCAAACAAATTTAGACTGGTCTCAGATCAGATGTGCACAAGTGATAAAGGCCTTTAATTCAATCCAATTTAGTTTTAAAGAAATAAATAATCATAATAATAATTCTGTCGTTATTTACTGTTTTCCAGAAGAATACAAACCAAAAAAGGCTCATGGAAGTAATTCAAAGAAATTAAATTATATATTAAGGTTAGTCATAAGGTTTAGGCTTTAGCAAACCCATTTATTAAAATATATTCCAATAAGCAACCCTTTCACTACAAGGCCCCAGTCGTCATATTAGTGATCATAGATCAATTATAAATGCTTTGCATCATGAAACTGCATTTATTAAACAAATATCATTATTGACACTTATATACTGTTTTTGAAGCCCCCGTTAATGAAGCCTGAGATGCAGTTTCTTTTCTTCTTATAGGAAGTAACAAATTGAGTGGATGCAAATTAAAAATATTAGCTTTTCAAACTACAAATTCTTGTCTTTATACTGCATGACTTACCTGAATTAACATTTTTTAAAACTGCCATCCAAGTGTTGGTGATTGTGTGTGTGTGTGTGTGTGTGTGTGTGTGTGTGTATGCATGATCTGTTTTGATTGCATAGCCGATGCCTGTGCAGTCTGTGTCAGTATTTTGAATCTGCTCACACACAACCGATCCACACAGATTTGTTGCAGCCTGTGATAGATAAGGCTTACTATCTCACTCACATATGTATACATATACACTGTTTTTTATTTTATTCTATTTATTTAATTATTTATTTATTTTCCGCCTTCGTTGTATATTGGTTTCTCTTCTTCTTACTTTAGCACCTTTGTGGTTCAGCTACCCAATTTCGTTGTGCAAGAAACTGCACAATGACAACAAAAAGCTCTAAGTCTCTAAGTCTATATCATCCCTGCATTGTTTTTTTAAGTCACTGTTGACGGTCTAGTTGTCACCAAAGGTTTCAAACGCGTGTCAGAGGATTTCACCCACTTTGCACACACATACACACACCAGCATGCAGGACCCTTACCACGCTTAAGGAAGATTCTGTGTCTTTGTGTATAAGTAATACTAAAGTACCTGCATGTTGGCGTTACACTGATAAGCATGACTTGGGGAGAAAGGAGCACCTGTGTCTTGATGCCCGCAGGTGTGTTCTGGAGAGCACATGGGTTCATATTAAGAAACACTGACCCTTTGTCAGTTTGTTCTCAGGTGTCCTGGGCTAATGAAAAAAGGGCTCTATTTGTACTCTTTCTGTATCTCACTGCCTCAAGATGCACACGGTGTTAACTTGGACAATAAAGGTTTAGTCATAGCTAATGCCATGCATCTCCCCCTCCCCTCTGTTTTTGTCTGACTTTTTGTCTCAGGTTGAAGGAGATTGATATGAGTGAATACGATGCTGCTACATACGAGCGCTTCTCCAGTGCCGTGAGGAGACAAGTTCAGTCACTCCGCATCATCCTGGACAGTTTACAGGTTGGCGTCACACCACACACTGTTTGTGTTTAACACAAGTTTCCTTGTTTAAAGGTATCAGTGTTTTTGCAACATCCAGGTTCATCTGCAGTAGCTTTTTTTATTTATTGCTTAGTCCCAATATTATAAAATGAGTAAAATATTGAAAGCCAAGATTTCCAATTTGCTGGTTTAAGTGGTTGCTTGTAATGACGGGCTCGTCTTTGTCAGATCAGTTTATTTAAACACCATCAACTCAGGCTGCAGTAGCTTCTATTGTACAGCTTGACACTGAAAAAAGTCATGGGGTCATAAAGTCAGCAGATGACAATTGGTTGACCTTATACATCCTCGCACGTGGTGCTGGACACGGAAAGAGGGGGCGCTGTCCCTCAGGAGCACTCTGATTTGTTAAAGAGAATGCGGACTAAGATCACAGGGAGTGGTGGTATTGTCTACGTTTCATTATTTTGGTTTCCACTTTCCGCCCTTTGTTTGGGCGTCTTAGTGCGAGCGTCTCTGGTGTGCTTGTTTGTGTGTGTTCATGGGCATCTGACAAGAGCGCAATCATGCAGCCACGATTACAGAGCAGTGACACTGAACTGCGCTCTATTATTCTTCTATCCAGGTGTGAAGGTGTTTTTTTTGCATGTGCTGTGGAGGGTGTGTGATTTTGTTTTCCATCCAGGTGGGCTTTGAACATGAGTTTGGTTGTAATTTGCGTTTGTCCTTATTGCCTTGGGCAGCTTCTTCACTGGAAAGATGATGGAGATCCCACTAAAACCCAGCAGGCAAGACGCTATGAAGTCATGTCAATTTTTATGCCATTCCTACAGAGGGACTGAAAGGAGTCATACACACGCACACAAACACATAACTATAAATGGCAAGCTTTCAATAAACTGATAGTGTATTGTTTCCATCTGCTGGGGTTTTCCTCAGGGAAAACCCTCTCTATTTACCTCTCAACAATAGACTGGCTTGGAACATACAAACGCCTCAGCCCGCATTGTGAAGTTCTAAAAGTAAGATATCAGTCCGAGCTGACCGCAAAGAGAATTAAGTGTTTTTATTTTAGGTTATTGATGATGAAGAGTATCCTGGCTTTTGCGTCAAGACATTTCATTAATATGACATTTAGGTGCTGCACTAACACAACACCTCTTTCAGTTACAGTTCAACATAGTTAAAAAAAACAGCGCCTTGAGCCAACTGTTGTTGTGAATTGGCACCGTGTGAACGAAATTGAACTGAATAGTTAAATTGAAGCTGACTCCTTGTATTTTAAATGAGATGCACTTAAGCACCAGAAGTAATAACGTCAGTCTGTTGTATTTCTGGATAGGTAATTTTTGTGCCTGCTTTGAGAAATGTTGTTGCGTCATGAATGAAGAAAATGTGCATCCATTTATGTCAGAATGTGCAATCTCAATCGTTTGTCATAGTGAGGAAAAAAGGGATCTGGTTCCGTTACCTTTGTTTGTGCTGTTCTACTGTGCACGGCATTCACAACTGATTATCTACAGAAAGGTGAAAGTAGTTGTTACATCTGTTACTACTTATCAATGATGTGAAGTCATACAACCTTGTTATTGCTGGCTATTCTTTGTTTCTTTGTGTGCTCACACGTCATTTACCGTGTAAAGAAAATCTCAAGACACGAAACCAAATATCCTGACTCACCAGTAACTGCAGGAGTGACCTAAAGAGAATGGGGAGAGGCACATCGGGTTTCCTCTTTGTTTGACGTCTTCTCCCTAAAGATCTCCTTCCGCTGAGGGAAAGATGAGGGCAGGACAGGGAGTGATGGCACTCTTCCTTTCAGGTTTTCTCCTTGTAACATCACAAGAAATGGGGCCACAGATTCAATGTAGCCTTTTCAATGTAGCCTTAGCCTCTTTTTGTTTGCTGGGTGTGAGTGCTAGTTGTTGGTATTGGTGAACTTTGAGCTCCTCTGTCATCTTTAAAAACCTCCATCAAAACAAAATCATCTCTCCCAGGCATATTTGGCTTACTTATTCTAATTTGGTGGATGTGCTTTCAGGCTAAAGGGAAGGAGCGGCAGTGGTTAAAGAACCAGGCTCTGGGAGAGCTGGATGACACCAAGATCATCGATGGACTGACTGGAGAGAAGGCTATATATAAACGCAGGGGAGAGCTGGAACCAGAGGTATTTGTTTTTTCTTGAAACTTTCTTATTTTTGAATCTGCCACACCTCCAAAGACTGCTACGCTCACTCCCACAGTCAAACATAATTTTGACCTTTATCTGTCAGGCGGTACATTCCAGTGGCGTGTGTGTGTGTGCGAGATTATTATTACACCCTGCTGTTTCTGCTCCAGCTCACTCAGTTTCTAGTTACGTCTTGTGCTGTCATCTTTGCGCGCATACACACAGCACAAAAGTAGTTCCCACACTAATCATGCCAACACACACTAGCCCATAATATAAATACTGTGTTTTTCTAACGTATTTAGCTCCAAGTCTTACATAGTTTTGGTCTGAGCTGAGCTACATTGAAATAATTGCACCCAGTTTTGAAATCCTGACCTTGTGTAAAATATTATTTTTATGTAACTACACCATCTAAAGTAGGGATTTTAGCTTGATTTAATCAGTAGTTGCTGATGTATTCATTTATTTAGTAACTTATGTGTGCTTACAGCTGGGCAGCCCTCAGCAGAAGCCCAAGCGGTTACGGGTGTTGGCCGACGTGTCGGGCAGCATGTACCGCTTCAACGGTGTGGATGGCAGGCTGGAGCGCTCCATGGAAGCTGTTTGTATGGTCATGGAAGCTCTTGAGAACTATGAGCACAAATTCAAGGTGAAAACGCCACATCGCGCATCACAATACAGAAGATTCTATGTGACTTTTCCTAAGTCAGGTGATACATAACAGCTGCATGTCCAGTATATGGAGTTTACTTCACATGAACAATTACTGTGCTTCCTTTGTGTTAGTACACTTTTATATAGTACACTTCATACCCTATATACTTAATTGTGTAGTGCATGAATCAGTGTTGTCTCATATTAGCGTGGAGGAGAAGAGAATTTCAAAGCATTTACATGCGCCTTGACAGCTAAGATAAACAACGGACTGACAGCCTAAAAAACAGGTCTAGAGTCATTTTTCAGGTAAAGAATAAAATACTTAGACTGACCATTAATTGACCGCATCAGTTTTTTTGTGTAGTATTCCATGAGTCCTAGCTGTAGTGAATTTAAATGGCTCAGTATCGTCCAATATATGATGTTTTTCCTGCATTAGTGTAAATCTTTATTTTAACTTAAGTATCAAGTAGTCGTACATGAAATAATAATAACTATTCAAGCTTTTGTTTCTGGTGTGAAATTCATTATTGCCATAATTCCTGAATTGCACCCAGGTAACCTCGTAAATCAAAACATGCAGTGTGTCTTTTAAAGCCTTTGTCATGCCATACTATGATCTAATTTGTCAGTGCTTTATTGGGTAGGAGTTGGTAATGCAGTTGACGCTTTTCATGGAAAATCA